GTCGAAGGGGGGGGGGGGGGGATTAAAAACGGTGCTATGATTAATTTTTCCGAAAAGAATGGAGATAAGAGAAAGGTGAAGGGGATGATATTTATTAGAGGAGCCGTCATACATAGCACTAGCGAGTAGCCAGCAGGTTCGGTGAAAGGAACATGGAATGGAATAGGTGGATTTGACGAGAAGGAGGGTTCCACCACATGAAATGGTTGGTGTGTTGCATGATTGGAGATGCTTTTGTTTATAGTTCATACAACCATATGATGATTGGTAAGCTATGAATCATATCATATGAGATCAGATCAGGCTCAACCAGACAGGTCCCCAACGCGTATCTGAAAAGTTTAATTACAACAACGTGTCCTGCCACTCTCACGACAATCCCTCATTAATGCTGATTTTGACATGAGCGCCTCTTATCTCATGCTTTCATAAGAAACAAGGGATGAAGTGGAGGTAAAATATCCAGCGCAATTACGACTTGTTAAGTGACACAAAACAAAATTAAGCCCTAATAATCCTCAAATAAAACTCAAACAAGTTCACCTCAAATGACTACGTTGACTCCTTTTTTGTTTTTCATGGATGTCACATTTTAGTGAAAACAAGGGCAAGGCTTCGCTTAGCTAGCTCCACGTCAATGGTAAACATAATTCGTTGCTACTGCTGGACCATTTGGATTCGAACAGATATTTTTGGTAATTTTCAACTATTACTGTTTCACTTATCAATCTAGTCGTGGTAATGATTAATTATGGGGTGAAACTCAATCACAGATTCGCAAATAATCTTATTCCCCTGGACCGATTCTAACCGGATTAACTATCAATTATGGTTTTATTTAAACTTCGTCCAGACTTAAATGATAGAATTTCATGTAATAAAAAAGATTAATGTTATTTTAAACTAAATTTGTATAATTTCACCTTTGTGGCTAACTTTTTTTTTTTTATTATTAATAAATATCTTTTTTCATAATAAATGAAATGAAGTAGAAAAATAAATACAAAAATAATGTTATACAAATTGTATAATTTTTATTATACATCTAGCATTACTATAAAATAAAAAAAAATTCCTAACGTCATTGGATTAGTAAAAAAGAATAGTAAAATTTCCGATCTGTCTAAAGGAGGGATCCATACGCTTTTTATGAACTTTAAAGTTTGTCTCCTCTGATTTGGAAGATCGAGTATTGTGATGCTTTAATTAGTTTCATTATTGCAGATAGCATTAATTAAAATGAATATTTATATATGCTTTAAATGTCTCTGATGGCTTGGTTGGCGAAAGTTTTAGGGGTACCTCTCTTAATCTGGTCCTCAGTTTGAGATATGTGGTTTGGTTGCATCCTCCTCTTGACTTGATCACTCTGAATATGGATGGGAGTGTTCAAGGAACTTGGCTGAGATCAGGTTTTGGTGAGTTATGTGATTATCATGGTGGAGTCTTCCTCTTTGATTTCTTCGGTAGGGTGCAACGATTAGTTAGTGGGGATGCGGCTTTGGTTTTACATGTAGAAATTTTGGTACTCCATCATGGTTTTAGGCATGATGAGTGCCTGTCAGATTCTCTGGTTTTGGTTAATTTGCTGTGGTGTGCACCAATCGTCATTTATGTATATGCTAATGAGTTGATGGATATTCGAAACTTGATGGCAAAAGACTGGGATTGTTCATTGTCACATTCTCTTCGGGAGGATAATATGTATGCAAATGCTTTGACTAAGTTTGGGGTGTTGTAGGATTGTTCTTTCTGAAGCTCTTGGTGGTTAGATAGTCTTTTACTTGTTGATTCTGTGGGTCTTGCCTATTTCAGGGGTTAGCTATTTTTTGTTTCATTGTCTTTTTTTCTTGTTTATTTTCTCTTTATGTACAAAAAGAAAATGAGAACACTTCACATTGATTATATTATAATTTATGTAAAAATATGCACTCTCTACGTTGGTTATAATATAATTGACGTATAAAGATGTACTTCATACAACTTTCTAGCTGCTACAACGAGCATTTTTCTTCCACAACCCCAATCCTGGTCACTATATTATATTGCTTTGCTCTTTTACGTCATTGCTAGAGTTTCTGTTCACAAAGCCCTCCTCCTCCATTGCTATGCCATTAAACATTCTATCATTACTTTAACTTATTATGTTAATATACATATTTGACAAGTATATCAATTGTTGTAGGTAATAAATTGGACAGTATTCTAAATTATCAAATTCATAGGGATTTGAGTTATAATTGTATCATGTAATTTTTTGTATTAAACAAATAATTAAAGAAAATTTAGAATTGTTTAAGAAATTTAAATTTTGTAAAAACAAAATAAAATAGTAAATTGTAGAGTTTGTGTTTATAATAAGAAGTCAGAGATTGATTTACTAACTTTCCTCGTATAAATCCTCTTAATTTTCCATTCAATTTTGAAACTATACAATTAATTTGACAATCCACAATTGTACTTAAACCCTAATTTTTTAGGCCATAAATTATAGGTCGTTTTAAGAAAAATCTTAATTTATTGATAATGTTTGTTAAACAACTTGCATTAAGGTTGAGAGCCAAAATTCGAATGATAAGATTTATTCTATTCCTAATAATAAATGTTATTAGTGTTTTATTTAGGTCATAATTTTAAAAAGATTTTTCAACTTCAATTAAAAATTATAAAATAATGTAGAGGTTGATTAGGGCATAACAAACATTAAACATAATAATAAAACATAAGAAAAATTACATAAGTCCAGTAGTTACCTCAATCTTCAATAATAGAGACTTAGTTACTCATGACTAAGGATTACACAATATAAGATAAACTTTTGAGCAATATGTGATTACAAAATTAACCTTATAATAACTCTCTTTAATTTCTCTAAAATTATGCTCGTTGAAAAGTACTGAGTGATACAAAAATAACCTATAGGCCTTATTTTGATAATATTTTCTAATGGGTTTTTAGGTTAGATATGCTCATTCAAAATGACCATATGGCTCACTTTGAGTAAACTTATGTGTGATTCTAGTGATGCTCTCTATTCTAGCTCGCCCAAAGCGATTATGAGATGACTTTAAGCGAATTTTGCTCACTTAAAGCACTTAAGCAGCTTGCTCTAAGGTTGCTCTTGTGGTAGCTCTAAGCAAATTCCGCTCACTTTAAGCGTGTAACCTACTCATTTTAAGCAAGCTAAGATTGTCTTTAGGAGTTGCTCTCTAACTTGACTCCCTTCAAGTTGAGATTTGATCGCTCTAAGTGAATTTCATAACATAAGGCGATTATTCTATGTGGCTTGGAGCAATATTTTTTCCTTTTGGATTAATAGCTTTTAAATTATTTTCTCCCTATATGTTACAACTCAACAAAAAAAATATTAAAATACCTAATATTTAAATAATTAAATTCTAAAATAAGATTAGCTATTAACTAAGTATTTTGTGATCAAAAACAAGATTTAGAAGGATAAAATATATTAATAATTGCTTAAATTAAATAAAAAATTGTATGCATATTTGACACTTATCATTAATAATCAATATATTATGTTAGCAGTCAATTGACCTGTAACAAATACACAAAAAATTGAGAGTTGAATAATAAAATATGTAATTTGTAACGACCCACCATGGTCCTTACACTTAATGAAATCGTACTACTACTAGTTAACTAAGAGAATATTAAGTTGGATAACACATACATGCAGGTATATATATATATATATATATATATATATATATATATATATATATATATATATATATATATAAATAACAACTATGTTTCTAAATGTAAAATATAACACTACATATGTACAACCATCCAAAATAATAACTCCTAGTGCCGGTCAAGCACAACCTACAGTTATCCCAGACGGTAACTCTGACACTAGGATAAAATTCTCGTCTCGCAGCGATCACCTCAACTCCAAGTTATCCCTGACCTGCTCTCATACCAATTATGATCATCGCAGTCCCACCACATGGAAACAGAAGGGTAAGCTAGAGTTCAAAAATCAATCATACAAGTATAGAACAATAATCTATACTACACAATCATTCAACTATCAATCATATTCATAGAGTCACACCATACACTCTATCCAATACTACTCATGCATAAAATACAATCCACCAATCATGAAGTCAAACACCTCACTTCATCAAATTAATAATCCTGCAATAAATGCATCTCATGACAGATATCAATGCATATCAATCATCTAATACGTCGTCACGCATACACCTAGGAGATCTCCCTAACAATAGAGTTGTATAACTGACATTCCATCCTACCGAAACCACCTCTTTCACGCTCAATGCGCCCGCTCGGTCACAGCTAAACAGGATATAATCCTCACTCGGGTTTACTCGGATGATGTCACTTACACAATTGGAAGTCCAGATCCACCGTCAGGTATATCACAGCTGGGGACGGGCTTACCAAGACCTTGACATGCATAACCAAGTCAATTGTGGAGTTCGCCCACCGACTATCTGCAAGGATTCACGTACCTTCCCGAGTACTTGGTTAAGGGAATAACCCTTGACCTCTTATCTCGCTCTAACATTGGCTAAGGACTTAGAGGAGACTCACCCAACCTAGTGGCCTACTTGAGCACCACTCTCCCAAATCCAGTGGCCTACCTGAGTACCACTCTCATATATCAGTGGCCTATCCAAGCACCACTCTCAAGAGACTCTATGTAAGCTCTTCCAGTTCGCAAATATTTTTCCTCTCCTCAAGTCCTAGGCTAGACTCATGCCATAAGGCATCACATGCAATTATGCATCATACATCATACATGGTCTGCCCACCATCATGATCAACAATCATACACATGTCATAAGACATCACATGCAATAATGCATCATACATCATACATGGTCTACCCACCATTATGATCAATAATCATACACATATGAACATATACTCATGCCATATCATATTTAAACATTCATATATATCATCACTATGCATACATATGAATCACACCTCACCATGCATCATATATCATACATACATGATCCAAAAATTCAACTTAACATACATTAGCATCATTTCATTCATAAACATATTCACGCCCGGCGCAGCCTGAGCTCGTCCAGCCTAAACCCAACCTGAGAGTCCTAAAACTCATCCACACCCGGCGTGTTCAACTCACGCTTGATGTTCTTGAGACAAAGACTCCTAAGAGTCTCCACGCCTGACGCAACCAAATCATGCCTGGCCCAACATCCAACCCGAGAGCCCTAAGCTCTTCCACGCCTAGCGTGCTCAACCTGCGCCTAGCCTAATCCCAGTCAGAGAGTTCAAAACTCTCATCCAAACTAACAAATCCAATCATATGCAAACACAAAAACACAATGCATAGGCTCCATACAACACAAAACAAACTCAAAATCAACATGCACCCATCTGATGCATCAAATTCACCAAAAACCCTATTTTTCCCAAAACCCCGAAAAATGAGCGAATTCTCCGATCCAGCCATGGATCCTCAACTTTCATGCATCAATTGAGTTTCTAAACTCACATGCAACTTAAACAACAAACATTCTAGCTTCCCTCACCTGAAGATTGACTCAAAATAGCCAATAATTGAGAAGAAGTAGAATTCCCTTCCGAAGCTCAACCCGAAACTTCAATCCTCCCAAAGCAAGCTTCCTAATCTGAATTTCAATAAAAGACAAAAGGCATTGGTAATCTAGAGGAGAAAAGGAATCATACAGAGAAATTTGGGAGAGAAAGGAGCTCACAGACCCAAAGTCCTTCTCTCTAAAACTTCTCTCTAAAAACTTCACTTTCTCCTCAACCACACAACCCCTATTTATAGAAGTTCAGGAGTGGTCAGAATGGCCTGTTCCGAATCCGGAACGGCCCGTTCTTCACCCCTTCATCACGTACAAAAATCACATGCAGAACGGTCCGTTTTGAAACTAGAACAGCCCGTTCTGATACTCATCCAGAACGGCCCGTACTCCATCCAGAACGACCCATTCTCAACTATGATTTACAGGTCAATTTAGTAGTTTGGAACGACTCGTTCCAGATTGAGAACGGCCTATTCTGGTCTACTAAAGCACCCATATTTAGCTTTTGGGCCTTCTGAAATAACTTACTATGTTACATAATTTCAAAATTATATTCAAAACACATATATTTCTCTTCCATAAAAGATATATATTGTTTATAGGCTTAAATTCACTTTTAGTACAATTTTTTTTATTCGTTTTTGGCAAATTTAGGCCCTAGTCTTCAAAACAAACAAACTAAACAATGTTGGTTCATCATTAACATATCATTCAAAATTAAAAAGAAAATGTTTACATATCTATAAATGATATTACCATTTGACGATTATTAAATCACATCAATTTCTATTTAAGGAACATTATTTTTTTACTATACAATGTTATTTTTTTTCATTTTATTTATTTCAATTAAAATTTATAATATTTTAAAACATGTTTTATTTATTTTTATTTTTTAATAATACTATTTTCTCCGTGACTAACCAACAACAAGTAGTATCACTCACATACACTTGTCAACATTTTTTATTAAATTTATATGGCTTAATTTTAAAAACTAAAGAGAAATTTTAAAGGATGAAAATTGTACAGTTGTAAAATTAAAGGGATGATAGGAAAATTTAATCCTTGTTTATAAAAAGTAAAAAAAGAAAGAAAATGTTTGTAGGGCTTGCAACCTACGTAGACCATATGCTGATATAGAAATAAGAATCTG